TAGTCCCTTTATGGGAGTTTCCGAGAATAGGGGACCCTAATATAGTACCCTGCATAGAGGATCCTTATTATAAGGACCCCCCAAATAAGGTATCCCGATTTTTGGAAACCCCCACATAATCCCCAATAATAACCCTAAACCCGAAACCAAAACTCTGGCCACCCGTCATACCACGCCTGCGTAAGCCCCGGCGTTGCAAGCGCCAAAGAGGAAGAACCATTTCTGGTTGCTCAAGGAGTACTTCCTGGGATTCATGGGGTTTCGGGTTTAGCGTTTGCTCAAGGAGTAGACTTTATCTTGGGATTTGACGGTTTGGGTTTAGGCTTTGAGACTGCTCAAGGAGTATTTCCTGGGAATTATGGGGACTTTACAAGGGCCTTGTGTGCACTCTCGCACACCTTCTGTACCTTGGCTTCAGGAATCAGCGCTTGGCTGTGGTTGAGGTTTGATTGGCGTCTTGGGATATGTGCAGCGCAGGATCTAGCAACGTCCAAGTTCTTGAGTCGGAGCTACAGCAGCTCACGACCTCAACACGAACACTTCAACCCGCACCCATATACATCAACCTTCCAAAGCTCTGCATCTGCATGGCCTGGCCACAAGTTCTAGAAACCCTGGAACCCCGGCAGCCCTAAAGTCCTCCAAGCACTGTGGACCAAAAGCCCCAAAGCCTAAACTCAGAAGGCCCCTCCCGAAGCTCAAAGGCCCCCACCCCAAGAACTCCCAAAGTTCCCGAAACACGGAAAGGCCACAGGTATGTATGCGTGTGTATATACATATATATATATGTATGTATATAAATTCGTATATATGTGTGTATATATACATACATATACTCATATATATATATATATATATATATATATATTATATATATATATATATATATATATATATATGATACCTATGCCCTAAACATCGATGTACAGAGTCGGTAGTCCCAAGTTCCTAGCCCCCTGCACTCTGAATTCTGAGCCGTGGACTTAAACCCTCTATGCACTCTGCCCCCAAAACATCCTCCGGCACCTACTCCTTCGGAAAGCGCTACAGAACCATCTTTAGCCCCAGCTGCGGAAGCATCATCCGCGCGTGAAACTGCTCACGCCCCGACCCCGAAGGCGGTGTGGGGATGGGAAGAGAGGTCCTTAGCAACCCAGACCTTCCTAAATCCCTTAATTAAGGAATATACCTTAAATCATATTAAGGATCCTACTATAATTTACGGGATATTCCTTAATTAAGGGATTTTGGAAGGTCTGGGAATGTCGCAGTGTTCCAATGGCTTCCTTCAAGTAAGGGTTTCGGGTTTCGGGTTTAGGTTCCTTTCAGGATTTTGGGGGTCAGGGTTCCTTGAACAGCCTACTACACAGCCCTTTTCTGGCCGTGATGAGTTGAACATGGTTTTGCAGGAGGAGATCATGAGCGATGGCACGGGGTTCTTTTCAAGGGTTCGTTTCAAGGGTTCCATTACAGGCCCTAAACCCTAAACCCTAAACCCTAAACCCTAAACCCTAAACGGGGTTCTTTGTCCGGTTTGGATTTGGGGCTTACGGTGCGGGGTTTGGGGTTTACGGGGCTTAGTGGCACTTCTAGTTGGAACAAGATCCTGAAATTTCGGTTATGATATGCTAAACAGTACATGATGGACTACAAAGCGACACTATGGCCAGATGTTGTCTCAAGAAAACAGGTTCTAGAAGGGCTCTAGAAGGTTCTATGACTAGGATACCCAGTAACCTAAGAACAAAAAGGCCTCTCTTTTTGGTATTCGGTAACTTTATAAGGAACCTAGGACTACAAAAAGGGAATAAGGGTACTGCGGGGAAGATTTGGGGCTGCCCGGGCTTGGGTTTGGGCAATGTGGCGCTGTGACTCCCTCTCTGGGGTTCAGGGTTTGTGGACCTTAGGCTGTAACCTTTGGAGTTTATAGGGAAGTTTAGGGTCTGGCCCTAGACCCTGTAAACCCTCACCTTGCAAACCCCAGACCCTAAACCCTAAACCCCTAAACCCTAAACCCCTAAACCCTAAACCCTAAACCCCTAAACCCTAAACCCTAAACCCTAAACCCCTAAACCCCTAAACCCAATTCCTAAACCCTGAACCCTCAACATCCTCAAACCCTGTGATTCTGTCGGGTTCGCTAGCTCGGACAACCGAAGCAAGAAGCCCCTCCTCCCTGGGTCCGTCCGAAGCCTGACGCCCACGCAGCTTGCGCATTACAGGCCTATATGGTTTAGGGGTTTAGGGGTTTAGGGGTTTAGGGTTTAGGGTTTAGGGTTTAGGGTTTAGGGGTTTAGGGTTTAGGGTTAAAGGGCTTGTGTTGAGTGCCCTTTCTTTGCACCGGGGGTGGGGGTCTACCGGACCAACTCCCCTGAGAGCCGCACCCATATGAGCGCACCGAGCCCATCACTCCTCCGACTCCGACCGGGAGCTCATTGCAGGGTTTCGGGCTTCGGGGCTGGAGGAGGAGGGTCAGGGAGCCTCTCTTCTAGAAGATTCCACATAAAAACCTTATGGTATGACAGAAAAAGCTTTCGAGTTGCCCAGATAGACCCCGAAGCAGTCCTGTGGTGCGCATGCTCCGCGCACGGAGCAGAGTTGCCAGCATCGTAGCGGTCGGGGGCACAGGCTTTCTCGAAAGCCTCAGAGGTCGAGAGCTGCCAGGGTTTAGGGTTCGGGGTTTGGAGGATTCAGGTATGGGGCGTCGGGGATGTAAAGCTATGACCCTGTGGGGTTCTGGTAGTTTGTAAGGTAATTTCCGCTTAGGCAGTTTAGGTTGGGCACGCATGATAACCTTTTTCTCCGCTCAAAGCACTTCAGTTCCGTCATCCTCCGTCTGCAAAGGCGGCCAAGCTTTGGGTTAGGGCTGGGAACAGTGTCGGGGCTTTGATACGGCATATACATAATGTGATTGGAACTCCTAGGTCCGTTGACATTGCGCTCAGAGACAAGTAAGTGGCTGAAGCAGGTACCCAAAGCCGGGAAACCCACAGCGTCAGGAGAAGGGTATGCGATCAGGCTGCCCGTGGTGTTCACGTGCATTTGCAATCTTTCCGACTTTACGACTTACGGCGGGCCAGATATGGGTCGAACTGTTCGGCCATCACCCTAAAGCTACCTCACTCAAAGTGTGCCATGTCCATATATGGCACACCTTGCCTTCTGGCGCAGCTTTCTTACTGCAGGCATACTTAAACACTTCTCAGCAGTTCGTGCCTGTTACACCCGCCGTGGCACAGGTCTCGCCATCTTTGTTCAGGCCCTCAAGGATCAACTGGAAGAAATCGATGGGATCCTTCACTGTCCCAGTTGTTGGGCAGGCTGAGGCCTTGTCTTGATCTGCGCATGCCGTGTCACAGGAGCAAACCGTGTAGCAATCCTGCACCGCTTTGATCGCAGTGCAGCAGTCTGCCACAGTTGTGTCGCCACTCATGACTTTGCTGTAGCCCGCCGCGCCACAAATCTCGTTCGACTGGCTCATCTTCTCGACAACGCAGTTGCCCATCGATTCACGTTCCTAGTTCATTGTTGGGATAGGATTAAAAATTAAAAATGTACATGTTTATTACTTATTGGGTTTAAGTACCCATAAAAATGTAAAATGTTACCCAACTACGACAAAGGTTCACAGCCACAGCCAGCAAGCATCATCGCCAAGGCCGGCAGGGCGAGAGCCAACACATCACGGAACGACATGGGGCTGCTTTGCTGTGGGTTCAGGCAGGATTCGAAGCGAGGCGAAGCTCTCACGGATGGCTTGAGCCGTAGACAGGTTTACGGAAGCTATACCCATTTTCCAGAAAAGCTCGGGGATCCCCATACCCCGAGCCCTAGGACGTTTTGCAGCTCCGGCTTGGGGTCATCTAAATGCTCATGCTCTTGGGCGTAAACTACTAAAAAAATACGCCAAGCTTCGGATGAAGGTCGTACGAGGTCTAAGTCTCTCGCAACGGTTTAGTGTTTAGGGCTTCGGGCTACAAGGATAACTGCTGCAGACACCTCATCGGTTTAGGGTCTAGGGTTTACGGGGGTACTACTATGTCCGGCACTCCAAGCCGCACAACCCTAGGCAGGACAAGGCAAGGCTGAAGATCTCTTGGCGAAGTGTCGAAAGTCTCTTGCGAAAGTCTCATACCCTAAACCCCGAATCTCTATCAACCCGTAATCAAACCACTAAACCCCAAACCTTAAGCTGCTGAAGCTTTATGCCCTATACCCAAAGCCCTATGCCATTGCCTAAGCCTCCCCAGCAGATCTCTGGGTGCCGGACTGGAGGCGCACGCGGCGGCGGCGCTGAGGAGCCCAAAAAGCAGCAAAGATGCAGAAGCCCTCTTAGTCTTCGGCTTCAGGGGGCCAACTTGGAAGGGCAGGGGACTTAGTAAGTAGGTTATAAGTAGAGTTATAAGTACCCTTAATGGAGTTACCCCAATTATAACCCTACTTCTAAGCTACTTACTAAGTCCCCTGCCTCTCCAAGAAGGCAATGATAAGAAGCGGTCACAAAGCACATACATGTGTCTCGGGTAATTAAGCCTTTTCCTCTCAGCGACTGGCACTGCATGTGGCCCCGCTTACGAAAGCATACGAAAGCCATTCCTGAAGGATACATCTCTGATTGAGCCTCTGTTGGGACCAAGTCAGCTACAATAGAAATCAGGGCGCGTACGGGTCCGCGGAGACCGGGCGCAGCTGCACGGTGCAGCTTGTTGCGGCACAAACTTAAACTTCCATGCTTTCGGATGCAGCTTTCAAGCTCTGGAGGTCTGGGAGTCTGTCTTAAGTGGGGGCGTGGATTTCGGAGTGTGGGTGTAGGGCTTAGGCTTTGGGGTTCTGGGTTTAGGGTTTTTGGGTTGCCCTATCCTAGGTCCCATCCTAAACACAATCCAAGCCCGAGCCGTGTCCTAAACTTGTCAATCCCATCCTCAGCCCTGTGCCAAAACCTAGCCTGAAATCTAAATCCTGCGCACGGTCATTTCTCTTGTCCAAGGCCACAGGTGTCCTCACAGCTTTGGTGCGGAGCCTGGACACAGGTCGCCAGGCTGCGGGCTCTGAGGCTCTGTGTTCCTAAGTTTGGGGCTGATCCATTACGATTAGCCGCCCTCAATGCAAGAGTGTGCTTGTGGTGTTGCTCCGACCTTGTTCTGCTTCATACCCGCTGCCGCTGGGCACTGGAAGATTACTTGCTGTCCGAGTGCGGGTGTACTACAACGTGTCTACGTCCTCCCCGGACGCTCGCTCAGGCCGGCTGGCAGATGTACTACATGCAGAAGCCCGGCAGGTAAAGAACAAAAACGAAACTCCATCTGCAGGCGCACTACATCGGGTAGTACATCGGGTCTAGAAACAAAATAAGCGAAAGCACACACAGACACACAGACACACACACACACACACACACACACACACACACACACACGAACACATACAGACAGGCTTACTTCCGGACCCTCAAGCTCGAATTTAAGGATCCTCTACAAGACGATACAAAGCCAGTGCCCCTTTGCTTGGGGGGCTCTACCTTGGAAGCTTGAAGTTCAGGAATGTATACTTGTTTGACCCTCGGAAGCCTTTGAAGATATTCAAAAAAATAAGATCCGCGTAAGCCCAACAAGATAAAGTACAACATATCCCAAAGGCTTACCTGGTATAGCTGAGGATCGGGGTTCGGATCTGGAGCTTTTGGGTTAAGGCTTTGCTTAGGGTCTAAACCACGAGCCGTAAACCGTGAGACGGCAAATTCTCAACCGCAACCCGATAAGCCCTGTGTGATCAGAACCTATGCTCCTGGACCTTCTAACCCTACGGCCCTCAGCATCCCTAAACCCTGAACCTCCGATACTTCATGCCCGGAAATCCCGAAACGCAAACCCGGGACCTGCCCTGGGCGACCTAACCCACACCCCAGTGCAGGAGCCTCACCGGTTAGAAGAGGGTGTTGTGGTACAGTACTCTAACATTGAAAAAGCATGACAAGCAGACGTGTAAATCTGCACGTAGAGTCTCTTCAAAACCTTGCGCAGGCACAGAAAACAGCTAGAAACGCCCTCATCGACTCATACCACAACCTACGTAAGAACCCAGAAAACCAAAACCTCGTAAACCACCCTTTAAAAAATTAAATAAATAAACAATAATAAGTATAAAATGAAAAAACACGCCCAAAGCCCCTAAAGCCTCACATCCTAAACTCCAAACCCCAAACGGAAAAGCCAGAAGGCCTAAACCCCAAACCCTAAAGGCTAAACCCGTAAGCAACCCTTAACCCGTAACCTTCATCCCAGAGCCCAAACCCAACAGCCATGTCTCTGCCTGCCGGATGGCTCTTCGGACGACTGCTTCGCGCCATCGGGGCCGGTGGTGTCCGCCCCGTCTGGAGGATGGCCTGCTTGCACGGTCGGGGGACTTGGTAAGCAGGCCATAAATCGGTTGTTACATTATAAGTACCCCCAAAAGGGGATCCTACTTGGGGCCGTAATCTTACAAGTCTACAAAATGACTCCGTTTTAATAAGTCCCCCGACCCTCTAAGTGCTCGCTTGGCAGGGGAGTCTAAGGGTTGGGTTTAGGATTTGGGGTTTGGGGCTCAAGGGCTTAGGGGATTAGGATTCAGCACTGGTTGGAGGGTGTAGGGTTCGGGATTGCGTGGATGTGAGGCTTACACGACTCTAAACCCCTTCAACCTTAAACCTTGAAGATGTAACCTTCCAGGTGGAGGTCAACAAAACACCCTTTAACGTAGCAACTGCCACAACACATCCGTGTGCGCATGCAGGTGCCCTGGCCCCAGTATTTCTTAAGGTTTCGCTGGAGGTCGTGTGGACACGACGAGCACGATGAGTTCCTGTTCCCAAGAGCTCCCCGTGCTGTCCTAAAACCTCCGAAGCGCTAAGCCCCTCAACCCTCCAAAACTGCACCCCTGCCCCTGAAAGCCAAGCCCTCAGACGCTTGAACTCCGTAAAACCAAAAACTGTATACCCAAACCCGGAAACTCCGACCTGAACCCCCCGCCCCACCCATGTAAACTGTACTCCCTGGAAGGAAAACCTGCCGAAAACGTGACCACAAACCCTGTGTGAGCCCAAAAAAAGGGAACCCTAAACCCTAGACGCTAAACCCTAAACCCTGAACCTTAAACCCTAAACCCTAAACGACCCTAATCCAGAACAGACTCCCTGCATTTGGTTGGCAGTGGCATTTGCTCCTAGAGTGGCAACCCAGAGAGGAAGCAGTTGGAAGCCTTACTTCCTGAGGACTCTTAACGTGTCTTAAAAGGGTTTCCCCGGGTTCATAGGATTTTGTACGTACTTAGAGGATAAGGGCTTGAAAGGATTAGGGCTTTAAGCTCTAGGGTTGGGGGCTGAAGGCTCACTGAAGGGCCCCCACACACTGCGGGGCCCAGGCTGGGCTTTCGTTCTACAATGACCTCGCAACATGCGTCAGACAGACTAGGGTACCCAGTAGCCTAAGAACAAAAAGGCCTCTCTTTTTGGTATTGGGTAACTTTATAAGGAACCTAGGACTACAAAAAGGGAATAAGGGTACTACTGGGCATCCTAGCAGAGCTTCCATGCTGCTTCTCCCAAGATGCGAATGATGCGAATTAGGATTCTCTGCTGGAGGCACAGATGCATGGCGAGACTGGCACATGGGCCTGATGGGTGATCTCTCTGCATCCCGGAGACTCCTAGACACCCCGTGCGCTGTAAAGGAAAACACGACAGAGCCGTAGGTAGCATTGCCGCCTATGATAAGAAGGCCCTGAACCCAAAATCAACCAAAAACGGTCTTCCGCACTAAGCTGCAGACTTCAACGCCCACAGAAAAAATTGTGGGGTGCACATGGGTGGGCTGCTTGACAAGATACGTGGCACCCTATAAACTCCGAATCTATCGGTCTTGGTAGTTTAACCTTCAAAAAAATATGGTGCACGCTGAACGTATAATGCAGTTTGGCCCAGGCGTAGCGAGTGGTCGTTGAAGGGTGTCGATTACTTTATACCCTCAACCCCAACACCGGAAACCCTCATGGTACGAGGTTGGGGACAGAGATTCTTTCAACGCTGAAGCCCTGGATTATACGAATACTAGGATACCCAGTCCGAAGGAAATCCTGGAAAACACTCGCCTGATTCATGAACTTACCTTGCCCCCTCCAAGCCCTAAACTCTAATCTGCGAACCCTCAACCCTAATCCTTAACCCCTGAGACCCTGAACCCTAAAAAACCTGATCCCTCTGTCCGAACCCCGTCTCGGTTCCCAGGACGGAGCACACGGGGGTTCTCCTCAATCTGTAGGCTGTATAAAAACATCAATGGCCTAGCATAGGGGTCTAAATCTGTAGCGAACCGGGCCGCTGTACGAGTATACTGCGTACTACACAGGAAGTACAAACTAAATTGGAAAAGAGCAGGAACAGCATTCCTGGTCTCGGAACCCCAAACCTTAAACCGCCATAGACCCGGTTCCCTAAACCTTATACCCTAAACCCTCATCCCTCAACCCAACCCTAAAGAAGAACCCCCAAGTCCGTCGCTCTGGCATTGGCAGCCCGCTGGTTTGGAGGAGTCGCTCGAAGCTGTAGAACCCTACTTCTGAGTTCCAAGTGTTTTTAGAGAGCTAATGTTCCTATAAAGGAAACCCTAAACCCTAAAGCCTAAACCTTAAACCCTGAGCCACCACGACCATAAACCTTAATACCCTAAGCCCCAAGACTTTTGGTGGCTAGGGCTTAAAAGTTTTCAGACGTTCCCCGAGCCCTGAACAGTAGGCCTTGAAATCCCAACCCTAAGAAAAGGCGAGCTGGAGCCTGAATCTTACTGAACCCGGCAGCTCAGATGATTCGGCCGTAAGGGGGGGACGGGGATTGTGTTTCAGTCATCAAATCCTCAACCCAAACCGGAACCCCTCAAGCCCCCACACCCCAAACCCGAATCTGCCCGTTCCGTCAGCGATGCTGTTCCGGGCTTGCGGTAAAGGGTTCTGCATTTCGGAGCATTCTGCAGAGCTTCGATTCCGGAGAATCCTCAGACGACCGGCAGAAACGGCAACCCCTCCGGTGGCATCAACTCCTGTGCAGCAAAGTAGCACTGGCGGTCAGTATTTACAGGTATTTTGCTGGTAGGCTTTTGGGTCTGCGGCTTAATCTTCTAAGGCATGCATGCACAACTTCGCGTTGGGGGAGGATAGAGAGTTCGTGGGGGGGTGAGGGGGGTGAAACATTATCATTATGACGTACAGGATATAGTTCTTCTTCCAAGCCTGCAAGCGTCACGTAAGGCCAAGTTCTGAAACCCTCGCCTCGGCGGCCTTAAACCCTGCAGATAACCCAAACTAAAAGCATCTCAATGCCTTAGAAGCTGCCCCCACCCTACAATAGTGACTATAAGGATTATATTTGGGCCCCATTATATTCCTATTATACCACTATTACAGGGTGGGGGCTCCTTCTAATCAATGCCTCAACCTCGAACAGAGCTCCTCCCACTGCCGATGCTGTTGCCGCAGGGCCTGAACAAAGGAGGGTAACATCTGGAATTGAGAGTGAAGTGGGAGTTTCCGAAAATTAGGGGTACTTACTTTGAGGTCCTTATCATAAGGATCCTACTATTTAGAGTACTACATTATGGTCCCCTATTTTCGGAAACTCCCAAGTCTTGCTCCCTGCCAGCTAAACGGAAACTCAAGCCTTGAAACCCCAGAAGACCTCAACCCCAACAAAGCTAATAGAGGGACCTTAATGATTAGAATAGGGTTTTGGGGGCCCAGTATACTATAATCATAATCATAATAAGGAGCCCCCTAAATAGTATTGGTAATTATTTAGGCCCTCTATTCAAACCATTTCCGCCCCCAGTTCCAAAAAAACTTGTGCCAGGCTGGCACCCGAACACCTGGAGGAGCAATGAATGCCAAGACTCGGACCTGGCCTCACATGCCAAAACAATACTTAATCATTACCTATACTATATTGGAGGTTCCTCATTGTCATTATAGTATAGTGGGCCCCAAAACCCTATTCTAATTATAAAGACCCCTACAGTCCCTAAACCCTAAACCCTAAACCCTAAACCCTACAGTAGCTAACAAGGAATGCATCTTCAGTATGAGACCCGAAGCGGAGATCCCCAAGGAGAACTCAGAAAAGCTGCAAGCCTTCGATTTAGAACAAAAACAGCAAAGCGCATCGTATGCCACATGTCTAGACCTAGGGACTCTTCGACGAGAAAAGCCTGAAATCCTAAATCCTCAAATCCTAAACCCTAAATCGTAAACCTACACCAAAAAATCCCCAGACCCTCAACCCTGAACCCGAAAAAACCCAAACACTACTACTTTTCGGGGCTGCTCACTGACATGGAAGTTGGAGAAACCCTTACAGAACCGTTTCCAAACGTCATTCAACAAACTCCGTGACCCATATAAGCCCTCATAAAAATCCCCTATAAAGCCCTTAAAGCGCCAAGAAGCCCTCGTAAAACCTTAAACCCTGAACCCTTAAACCCTTACTAAACCCAAAAATGTCCTAAACCTTAAAAGCCACCCCCCCCCCCCCCCCCAACATACCTCCAGTTCGCCGCTTCCAGCATCTGCGGGGAAGAAGCGACCCACCAGCGTCTCCACCTCCTTCACGCTGGTTTTGAGATTTATGGGGTTCATACACGGGTCAATATTAAGCTTATGGGGGTTGGTAGGGTGTATATAAGGCTTCTAGTGTTTATAGGGGCTTACAGGGTTCAGGTTTGAGGGATGTGGGTTGGGGCCTGAGCTTCGGGTTAGGGAGGATCTTTGGATCTGGGGTTGGGGCATAGGGTTTGGGATTTAGAGTTTAGAGTTTAGGGTTTAGGTTTTAGGGTTTGGGGTTTGGGGTTTAGGGTTCAGGGTGTTCAGGGAGTTTAATTAGTGATAAGGGCTTGTAGAGTTTTGGGGCTTGGCTTCGGGCTTGGGGGTGGGATTTCTTTTGCTGCTTGGCTGGATTACACTGTATCTCTTGAGGAGATTTCAGAACACCCTCTACCAAACAAAAACACTCAAACCGGTTCCAATGAATAGTAGTCGTCTAACCCCAAACCCTGAAGCCCGGACCCTAAACCCTAAAAGCAGCAGTAGCAGTAACGGATTTCATCCCTACAAAACCTGAATTCCTGAAGCCCGAAATGCCTGAGGCGAAAAATCTAAACCATAAACCCATGACATCACCAATGTGTTTCTAAGCCCTGAGTTCGAAACCGAGACAGCACTCCTACAGAACCTTATCGGACCCTTCTAGAACCGTCTAGAGCCCTTGCAGAGGCCTGTAGAATCCAAACCAAACCGCTTATCAAGCCCCATAAGAGCCTGATTTTCAAAATTCATTTGTATATATGTATGCATATACATACATAT